TGGAAATGTTGGAGCCAGCAAAACCTGACAAGTGCAGGTTAATACTAATATTCTGCAACTACTGTTGAATGAATTGCCTCAATCCTTTTGTAATGTGTAAAAATGTCATTGGTGAATTTTTAGCCAAACTTAGTTTTTCTGTGCTTTGAAAAACTTTTAAACTGTATGCGGTCCTTCCTTAAACAAAATAAAAGCAACCTCGCTTGGTTTTTATGCTGAGCTGTTAAATGGATTGGCTTGCCTGGAGATTTGTAGTTGCTCATCACTTGCAGATCACCTGGAAAAAAATTACAAAGACGTAGACAAAATATTTTAAAAGCTGGCACGGTTTGCAGGGTGTGGTGAAGACAATCTTTCATGTATGGTGCCAAAAGGCCAGGGTGTGACCTGGAAAAAGAATCCTGCTTGTTTAATTGAGAAGCTTTTTTGAAAGAGAGAGATGGGTGGCAGTAAATTGCTGCATCATGGTTTTCTGTTTTGACCTATTTTTAAATACATTCTAAAAATCTTTACATGTGCAATACCAAGCTTGATCAGCAGCTAGGATTACAGCATCTAAAACGAAACGTGTTTGGGGGCGGTTTGTAAGCATTATCCATTTACATGGTAAATAAATTTTTATTAGCATTGATCTAGAGAGGTGGTAAGCCTGTAGGTTCAAACTCATGTGTGGGACCTGGATTGGGAGGAGACCAAGCTGGCTTTAATTGTTCCTTGGTGTAAGTAGGTTTGTACCAAATTCTGCAGAGACAACTTCAAGTCTAGTGTTGTCCTGACATGTTCCAATCACTCTTAGTAGTTTCGGATAATAGTTTCTAACTTGAAAATCTGTCGCTTTTATTTAACATGGTTTAGTCCTATTCTAGGCCTTCACTAGAAACTCTCTTTTTGGTTAATGGTGTGATATGTATTTATTTTTAACAATATTTCTATACCATTAAAAGCCCTTATATAATCACTGTTTATACTAGCCAAAAAAGTTCTTGTGCTGTTTTTTGGCCTATTTCACTTGGTGCTAAATCATTGTCTTTGCTAGTATAAGCAATGACTAAGCTATAGTTACAATGACAACTTTTCTAGCGTAGATGTAGTCTTTTTGGAGCAAAATGATAACCTGCAAAGGAACTCGATTATAAAAAGCTGAGAGATTCTTGGTGGTTCTCTAAAATTTTATTTTTTTCCATCATCATGCCAGAGCTCTTTAGAAAGCTTTATGAACCTGAATTGGTTTTGGTAAAATAAGACGGAAACTGAAACTTTTACCTTGCCATTTCAAAGACAGACATTTCCTTTTTTTACCATAAAACAGTGGTTATCAACCTTCTTAGACTCAAGGCACCCCTTGGAAAATGCCGGCTCTTAAGCTTTCACTCTCTCTTTGACTATGGGAAACGAATAGGGTGATTTCTGTTACAAAGAGCTTGGAAAGACCACAACAGGTAAGATGTTGTTTGATGCTTTCAATTGTTATGCAAAATCTCTGGGTTTATCTTGTGAATCCGTGTGTGTATTTGCACATCTGACAGTGCTAATATCGTGGAGTGACCCATAGTTGATCTGTGCAAAATGACATCGTTCCGCTTCAACGTCCGTTTCAATGGAATAGCGTTTCATTTCGAGTTTTGTTGTTTCAAAAGCACTGTTACCTTTCGTTGAAACTGTTTTGATGCTGTTTCGCCCACCCAGCACTGGGAAGATCAGTGCTGCTACTGGCCCCAGCCAGCAGCACCAGCCTCCTGTCATCTGGCAGGCAGAGCAGGGGCTCACCCGCACCCCTGGGAGGAGTCTGGCATAGCCCTGCAGCCCTCCCGGGAGCTTGCCCACACCCTGGGGTCAGCAGCAGCACCAGTCTTCCCGGCGCGGGGTGTGGGCTATGCTTAGCGCCAGTCCCAGCTGGCAGCAGCAGCCTCCTGTCATCCAGCAGGCAAATCGGGGTCTCAGCCCCAGGAGGAGTCTGGCACAGCCCCGCAGCCCTCCTGGAGGTGCGGCTGGGCCCTGATCTGCCTGCCGGATGATAGGAAGCTGCTGCTGCTGGCTGGGACTGGCGCTGAAGCCAAGTAAGTCTGGCTTTGAAACTCAAAACGCTTTGAAACTTTTAAAACGTTTCAAGTGCCCTTGTTTCATTTCGGTTTTGCTGTTTTGAGCTCGACACGCTTTGAAACGAAGCATGAGGTGAAATTTCACACAGCCCTACTCCATAGTCCTCTTTAAAGGATCTCATAGTCACCCTAGGGTGCTATGGCACCCTGGTTGCTGTTAAGAATAAAAAGCAAAGTAACTGGCCACAAAAACTGTTTCCAAACCTACTGTAGTACATTGCAGAGGTCATAAATATGCCTGAAGTACACAAGGCCTGCAAAGGTATTCAAGGAAGCTGGGGCTGTATCTTTTACAAGGGTGCACAGCCTTTGCAGTCATTTAAAAGCCTTTCTCTGTCAGTCAGGAACACAGAAACAAGCATAGGGATGAAACTATTGTTCGTTTTATGCTTGGTGTCACTATTATATAATTTTACTCTGTTATCTTTCATTGACAGCTTACAAGTGAGCTATGCATTTTACGGCTTGTAAGCCATAGCACACTTTTTCTTTTCTTTTCTTACCCAATATGTCCTTGCCTGGATGTTTCACTGAGTAAAGATTTAATTTATAGACTTGCTTAGAAGGATCAAATTTGAATGGTCCAAGAAAAAGGGTACTGAATATTATTGATTTTATATGGTATAAATCTACTGAACCCAGTTTATAACCTTAGAGGTGAATGCACATTTCTTTCAGATGCTGTCTTTGAAACATGAGGTTTTCTGTACTTATGTGATCACATGTTTACTGAGTAGCTGTGACTTTTTTTTTTCCTAATATTATATACACAGCCTTACACAATGGCATTTGAGCTGACTCATAAAGATTTTATTTCCCTATATGTTGAAGAACAGATTCTGGATTTGCATCTCTATTATCATATGTATTTTCACGTTCACTTATTCATCACATGTGCTGTATGCTCTGTTTACCTAACAGGAAAATTAAATTTCTTAATTGTATCATATGTATGCATGCATCTTTTATATAGATTGCTGAGTAGATAGGATATAGCTTGGAGCAGTTATGTTTACTTGCTAACGAACTATTTGTTTTAAGGGGAAATCATTTCTTAAAAAATATCTGAACAAAATACATTGTTAAGCTGGTGAAAATAAAGTGATTTCTTTTTTTTTTAATTTTTTTTTTTTTTTTTTTTTAAAGAACATGGGACTTTAACTCAGGAGTAAGGAGATTAACTTTCTCCCCAATTCTTTCCCCTACTCACCTTTCCAGTCAATACCCATTCTCCCAACGTTTTCCTACTCTTTCCACAGACACACTGGGTATAGGGGGTTTTCCTTGCGAGTTTTTTAGTCCTGTATTTGAACTAAAAACCAAGGCAGAATTCTTCTGGTGCTGAAGCACTTGGTCTTTCTGAATACAGTGAGGATACCATAATAGCAAGGTGGAGCTTGAACATTCACAATGTGAAAAACAACCATATTGCACTTGTGCAGATCTCTTTATCAGCAACGTTGCATGCAAGCTGACACTTCCCAGTTTGCAGGCCTGAAGATCAGATGCAAAATAAATGGGCGTACTGGGAATTGTACAGCTGAGAGAAAGGGGAGAGCGCTGTTAAAGTGCCTGTTGGCTGACCTTCCCTGGGTGCTAAATCTCTGCAGATTTTTTTCTGTTTAAATGCAGTTGCTTACTTCCAGAAATCCATAGTCAAGTTCAGCCAACCAACCTTTTTGTTTTACCTCTTTTTTTTTTTTTTTTTTTCCTACTTACTCTGAGAACAAACATTCTCAGACCACTTTATCAATCACATAAATTAAGTTTAAAAATAAAGTAAAAACATTTTTATGCTCACTAATGTATTAGTTGCGCAGTTCACCTAAGGCAACCAGTTGCTTTCATGGGACAGAGTTAAGATCAAAGGCTGACATTCAAAACCACATGTGCGACTAGATCACTTATTTCTAGGCTTTCTCTAGTTCTAGGATAAGTATTATACCTATTTTGGGGAGGGGAAAAAAATAAATATATATTTTCCTGTTTTTGTTTTATGGTTTTGGACTGACGTGTGATTATTTCATATAAAACACTTTTGCAACATGAAATAGTACACAGGAGTTAAGACATTTATTCCTTTTACTTTTTAATAAGGTAATTGACTAGACCAATTACTTTATTAATTAGAAGTCCATGCAATGCACTTGTGTATGATGCTGACATCATGATTGCTGATTACTTAAGAAGCTGGCACTATTTGTATGAATCTCATCTCTCCAGTGTAGCTGGCATAAAGTCTGTTCATGATGCACAGTACATTGCATCACACACACTGGACTTCTTGGGGATCTGTAGATATTGTTGTGATGTTCTGTGCTTTCTTTCGACAATAATCTGCTACCCTATTTTGATAGTGTCTGGGAAGAAGCACAACTTGGCATACCTTGGCAGGCAGATGCTGCAGAGCTAGAGTTGTATTAATTTAACAGAATGTGCCATCTCATTGCAGGAGAGCAGATATGGCCTCTGTAAGAAGTACATACAATATAACGAAAATTGAGCTAGCTTGAGCAGATCAGGAAATGTGCAAAGAGAAGAAACACTATTGCTGTCTGAGCAGTACCTTTGGTACTTGAGCCGGGGGCTTGTCTAATACATGAGGTGTTTGGGTTTTTTTAAATTAAAGAAGTTGGGGTGATTCCTCACACAAACTGGCAGGGACAAGTGTGAGCTTATGTAGAGATAAGCCTACGCTTCCAGGGGCCAAGTGGGGAAGAGCAAATACTTCTGCCTCGTATTCTGCAGCATCTGCCCTAAAAGGAACAAATGGTATTCCCGGGTGTAATAGCTATACGGTAGTTATTTGTGCTTGTTTTCCCTCTCTGCCATGTATCATAGTGGAGCACTCTT